GCGTCTCTTAAAACGTAAAGACCATAAAAAACTTTTGATTACCATTAAAATTCCGGAAAATTTGAATTATCTCATCATTCCAAGTCTCAAAATATTCATTCGAAAAAATAATGAAAATAAAGACGATTGGAGCACATTTATTTATCCCCCATAACTGGAAAAATACGCAGTCAATATTATTGATGTAATGTTTCAATGGATTCGAAAAACCGAAATTATCTTTCGAATTTCATCTCCGAATTTCGTTTTTGCGGAATGAATGGGAGAGTCGGTAAAGAGTCGGAAAATCGGGTAAATGACTGGCGTAAAGAATGAAATAGCAATGGCCATTGGAATGGCAATGATGAATAATTAAAAGCGGCACATAACGAAATATCCATTTTCCATGGTTTATTACGGTTTATTACAGATGCGGTTTATAGATGCGCCGAGCTCGGCGAAACACAACGACTCTGTGGTTATAAATTTTAATACCAAGTACTGTAACTGCACAGTCTAAAGAACCTCGTTATTCACATTCTTTCCTTTATTTTCTTGGTAATTCTGGAGCAGTGATGAAGAGCTAGAGATAGCACCGAGGAATTCATACGGATTATTTCGCGGATAACCGGCGAACCGGTGGTTGCAGAGGAAAACCCCGTAAAAATTCGGTGAAAAAAAAAAATAGCGTGATGTTTCTCAATTAAATCAAGTGTTCCTGCGATGGGTAAAAAAAATGTCGAGCACCCAGGGAATTCACGGCGTTTCCACAAAACGCCTGCATGACGTAACGGGAGAAACCGCAGAAGTTCCTCTGCCTCGTTTATTTCGTAATCTCCGTCTCTCGTATTTCTTCCTCTCATATTCACTCCGAAGAAGAAATAAACCATTAAACACGGGGAGGAGAACCCCGTGGATTATTTGCGGTCTTTACTGAGATGATTTTGGCACGGAGACGGATATTTATTTTTCTGTCCTCATTACTATTCCTATTTTCATTCCTTCCGCTGCTTCATTTCACGATCGAATCGACCTCGGCCTTGGCAAACAAACGTCATCATGTCAGTGGGAATGCTGATTCGAGATATAATCTTAAAGGTGAAATAAATATTTTCCAGGTCTGCGGGGAATAAATCACGGGAAAAAATATACTTGAATCAAGAAAGTTTTATCATTCTTCCAGAGTTTTTACAACTCGAATTCCGATGCTTTCTTCACTGCACTCGCCGTTCTGTTTTTTTTTTTTTTTCAAAATAAATTTATAAACAACTCGAAAAACCAGAAGATATCGGTGATAATTTTTGCATAAACTACTGAAAAAAAAAACGATATTCATGTGAGATAATAAAAAATATGGAGAAATTTCTCCAGAAATTCCGGTAATTCTGTGGGAAAATTAATTCAAGCTGGGGGAAGGACCCTGAAGTTTTCTTGAAATGCAAATTTATGCTCTTGAACTTCATCGGAATGACGCAGTTCAGACGAAAATAATACGTAACCGTAGATAACCGGAGGATCAAGATGCAGAGAAAATTGGAGCGTAACAAATTTACGGTTGACCAACGCTGGAATCGTTGGAATGGAATTTGGCACGAATGTTCAGCACGTACCTTCAATTCGTGGCGTTGAATCGTCAAAAACTTTTGTGGGCTGTCACTGCGGTAGATGTGTGCAACGAACCACTGGCACAGGAATTGCTCCAACGTATTAGCGTGAGTGAGTCTTCGAGTTTGCCGAAAACTTTTCACCCAGGAACGATAACGAGAAAGCTATTAGCCCTGGGGTGTAATTAAGTTGAGAGGAATCGGTAGATTGTAATTGGCCTGATGGGCCTGATGTCCAGGAAAGTGGCGTGCGTCACACGCCAAAATCAAAAAATTTGCCAAATCAAAATCCCCAATCCCTATAAAAAAAAAATAATAATACCCCTCAACAAATAGAAAAAAATTACGAGTATTACAAATAATTAAAGCCCTTTTTAATTAACCAAGTTGGTAATGAAAAATCTTGGAATCTACGGTTGGGTCCAGTAAAAACGGTTGTAAAAGCACTTGGATATTCGTAATTTCCATCAGCTTGAGATGATTAAAATCGCTAATCCCGGAATTTTCCTCCAGCAAGTCACGTACAGGGTTTGAAATAAAATAACGCATACATTTATTCAGTATTATGTACCCAGAGAAGGCAGGAAGAGTGGAGTGAGACTAAATCTACACTTTACTCTTCAGACTCTCTGTGTGGCGCCATAGAGTGCTTTCCACATGGGTATTAACCAACGGTAATATCACGTAAATGTAATATTATACACGAATCCCATAGCGTTGGTGACTACATGGGATGACACTGACATTAATGCGTGAAATCGCCGGCAAGACGAAATAAGAGGAGAGCTGATCGATTTATTCGCTGTGACGTGAGTTTCACCGATGGGAAATTATCATCAGACGAGTGTTTTCATTCGTAAATACTCGTATGCATTTGTAAATAAAGAATGTTAAAAGCCAAACGAGCAAGCGCAAATACAACCAATAAAAAAATAACAGAGGCGCGTAAATTCCAGAAGAGTCGTAACTCTCTCTCAAGCTGTCACCTATCGCCAGTGGGGATTTCATTTTAATGTGCAATTTTTTGCCGGCTCTTGCATCCGGGAATTATAGCAATTATTTGCTATTATTTGTCTATAGATCGGATTAAAGGAGATTTGCAGATGCTGCAAATTGCTGGATTAGCGAAAACTTGGAATTATTCGGTTTGTGGGATTCAGAGAAAGTCCAGGTGGAATTTTGGTATTTTTTTTAGTTGAAATTTCTAGAGTGATTTTCTGACATGTTGTGCATTCAATTATGAGCCCGGATATTCTGGTTGGGGGGAGGAAGAGGTGTCCTTCCCTCGGGTCAGATCGATCATTGCGTCCGTTCGTTGGTAATTTCAGTTGTGAGGGTGTCAGTCATAATCATTTGATATTCTTCACTGTGAACGATGGGTCTGGAGATATTTGCAGAATAATTCCTGTGCTCACAGGCTCTTTCAAAATTTCCGACTGAATTTCCGGCGCAATGGCTAATTATTATAATATCGAATTTTCTCTGGTCTACAATTTTTTGACTATCTTTTATCTTTTTTCGGAGACATGTCAATATTTTATTATTATTCAATACGGATTGTAGAGTGTAGTAAATTGGGAAAAATAATAAAAATATATCGTTGAACGATTATTGAATGGTCTCCACCGAACCGGATGTTTATCAACTAAATATTTTTGTGGTTATTCGCAGTGGTGCACGTGATTTCTGGGTAATGCCATCTAAAAATCCGACGTTCGTGATTCTCGGGGTTATTTGAGTGTAGCACACAAGCCACTTCTGCCAAATAATTTTCACTCGAGTTTCACGTGAATTCTTGGAAAGCCCTCGTAGACGAGCCAAAACTCGGGTATTGCATGTACGAATGAAAAGCGCCGAGACATCCTAGTGAAAATCTTTGGAGAAAGTTTATTGCACACCGACGTACATTTTCGGTGGTGAAGTGCAGGTTTATTCGTCTAGTCTCATATGGAATATGCGTTTGCTCAGTTGCTTTGTGGACAAAATTATTTCACAAATACCAACTATGTAAATTCAACTTCACTCTGTACACTTCACTTGGATTTTCCACATATTACGGTTATAAACACAGAAATGCTTTCTGCAATTTCTATCAGATGAAAGGATTTTGTGAAATCTACAAAATTTTGTCAACTGGAAGTGTTTGTCGTTGGGACAAAAAATGAATTCAGTCGCAGAGTGAAAAAGTGAGATACACATTGCCCAATTTTTCGTTTAAATTGTCGGAAAAGTCTGAAAAGACTTTATCTATCTCTAACTTAATTCACTGCATGATTTTTCGATCAATTAATAATTAATAAAAATATTCAAATGCATTAATATCACTTTATCACTTGGCTGATTGGTGAAAATTCCGGAATAAAATAGATTGACGGCAGAAGCCATGCCCAAATAATTTCTATCAACTGTCGAATGCGCAAAATGAAATAATTAATTAAAATCTCAACATCGGACTGATCAATTTCAATAAAAATACGTGTGTAGTTCATTCGTTTCTCGTTCCACTCGCGTACAAACGCCATCGAATTACGTCCGCTAGAATGAAAACTGTTCCGTACTTTCCACACTTCAAAGTACTCACGATTTTCATTTGGTGAAAAAAATCCGGGGAAATACAATAAAACATCGAGAGAAGAGTAGAATTCTAATGCCGGGGGTGATGAATTTATTTATTGAGAGATGGAATTGTGAAAAAAATTAATAAATCTTCTCTACAGGATAAATTTTGCAATAATTTTTTTTTTGCCCGGTGAGAGAATGGTCCCGATAACACATCCGAGTGTCCGCTAGAATTTTCCGAGGATTCTTTGGTGTATTAGAACCCGTGGATAGAACACTTGGAGCCCATTAAACAGTTGTCTGCCCCTGAAGTACTCAACTACTCGAGGAATATCTCGAATTCCACACTTTGAGCTCTTGTTTTCCCGCAGGAATCCGAGTGGTGCGGTTGCCCACAGAAGCAGAAGTTCAATATTATTCATCTGCATATCCCTCGAATTCCTCGAATCTCATTGATGTTCTGCATGAAGTGCCTCATTAGCCCAATGATAATTAGTGATGCCTTGCATTGGGGCGTACAGAGCGGTGGAATAATAAAAGTCAAAACGAGAATAATAATGAGAGAGTGAAGAGCCGCTGTCGAGAAACGGTGTCACGTGCCTAATAAAAACCATTCGGGGAAAAGCTGTTAAAGTTGATTTTACAAGTCATGATAGCGGAATTCCGAATCCATTTGTAACCGCTAAATAATTTTATGATTTAATCAGTTAAAAATTGACGGAACGTGAGACAAACAATACAGATGCAATTGGATAAATTGATTTTGAGAAGCGGTTTAATATTTCATCAGTACGAGGAAGGAGAGAAGAGACGTAAATATTCGTCGAGTAGTTTTTGCGATAAAAAATTCTAAAGTACCTTTAATGCCCTTTTCCTGAAGTTCTTGATGTCCGGCTGATAAAATCCAATGTGTCACCTACACTCGCGTTATCTGGAGTAATCCAGGTCACAGTAAAAGTTAAATCACAATGAAAATGAAGGATGGGATGAATGAACATTTATTTGGATGCGGAATGGGAAGGAGAAGCGTTCGCGCGCGAGTTTGGAAAAGCAATGGCTAGAGTTGGAGACTGTTGGAGACGTACACTGGAGCGGTTGTTCCCTCACCAGGTTATGCTGACTCCAGGCGGCCGTAACAGCTACACACGATATCTTATTATCGCTCTTTCGTTTCCACTCACATGCCACTCGAGATGACGACCTCCTTGTCTACTGGTCACTCCTTATCTCACACTGTCTCCCTTCCTCCGAGCGGTTCGGCTCGACGCCACGCGTCCAAATCGCTCATCAGAAGCCCGAAGGTCCACTACACCCACGTGCCCCAACAACTTCACAACCGAGTAATCGGAATTATAGGCAGATATTGAAAACCGGTATATCCAACGATCCTCACCCTTCACAACATCCCATCGCTCGTGATCTATGATATTTCGCGCCCATTTTTTATATTCAATTGTTTATGATTTTTTTTATTTGATTATTATTAAAAATTGAAGTGGAGAATGTGCAGAAAGGATTATTATTGTTTAGTTACTATTGAGGATTGATGAATAATAGTTTCATAAATGACTGGAACGTACACCAATCATGTTACACAGCTGAGATACGTGGCGTACATCTGAATAAGATAATTTTGCGCACCTCTGTTGTGACAACACGTTTCTGACATTAGTTCAAGTACGAGTCCATTGTTTGATACACCCTGGGAGGAGAAATAGCGGGTTAATAGTCCCCTAATTGCGAGCATTAAAAAACTCCGTCAAGAATTATTGCGCTCTAGTTTTTTCTCGAGGACCAAGTGGCCAAGAGGCGTTTGTTACCCCCTGATGGGGGTGATTATTCTCATGTTCATTTCCTTGTCACACGGAGAATAATTTGTAGTTAAATTTACCCTGAAGTTGTAAAAAATGCGACGAATAAAAGTGCCTGGGAAAATTTCAATGATTCTTGAATAAAACCTACAATCCCAAGCAAGAGAATCGACGATATGTTCGAAATTAAGTGACTGGAGGATTTAATTTAAAGTGAGAAGACGATCTGCGTCGAGGGACATTGGGGGGATTTTTATGGATATTTAAGACTCAAGCTATTGAAGAGATTTGAGCTCCCAGTACAGTGGTTGTTCAATTCCCTTCAATTAGAGTCGCCAGGAAAAAACGAACGACTATCGGTACTTTCTCGCGTGCAATTGCGCCATGAATCACGTCATGCCTAGACACATTTATAGCGACCAAATACATTTTTGAATCGGTTGAAACACACGGCGCCATGCATTGTACAATCCTGACCTCACTGATAGATTTCATTTGGAAAATGTAAATTTTTACCGAGGCACTATTTTAATCTGCATGCGAGATCAGCCGATGGAATGACGAGAGATAAATGAAGTTGAAATACTTTTTTCACGATTTATCATTTTTTTTTTCGTGCCCCGGCCATTTTTTACCAGATAACCTACCAAATACTTTTTCCTGAATTTTCCAGCGAAATTCCATGCTGTTTCATAATTAAAAATATTGATTACATTATTTTTTTTTACCCGCAAAAACCGTGGCATTATTTAAGGCTGAGATAATAGTTTTCATTCCTCTGGAAGAAGTACTGATTAATTTTTCCAGCGGCAAAATCATAAACGAAGTCATTAAAAAAGTTTGTAGACTTCCGTCAGCAGAAATATATCGAAAGGAAGGAATGAAAAGGGAGAAAAAAAAAATGGCTTCTGTGCTGAGTTTTACTCGCAACGACCTGGGCGTTCTCATCCATAATGACCCAGAGAAGGTTCTCTCGGTTAGTCCCTGAATCATCCGCTTACCCTCTTTTTACATGACCACCCACGCACAACATTTTCCGCAGCAATTCTCTCTCCTTTCTTTGAAAACCAAATGAAACGAATTCGTGCCGAACACGTACATACCATTCTTGGATGCATTTCTCTATTGAGAGAAGTGAGGAGCCACCGAGCAAATGATGTGGCTCCTGTTCCTGTGGTTGGTGTGCCCCTTTCCCCCTTTTCGGTTTCATCACGTCAAACCACCGGGAGTTGGGGGGATGATTGTGGCAAACTCACGCGCATCATCAGCAGACCCGGGTACCCGGGTTCGCTATAATTCCAACCAGAAATCAACCTGAATGGCTGCTGACACGAAACACGACATAATACATATCTCCAGAGAATTCAGATGTACCGCAATTGGATCTACTGCTCCAAATGGATTGAAACTTGTCCGATCCTTCGTAGCTATTTCTCGGGATAATCCACCAGATGGAAATGTTTTCAGAGAATTTTTATTCATTCTCCACGACGCATTTAATTATTATATTCCCCACTCGGGGTTTGTCATATTTTTAATTAAGAGTCATGAAATGTCTGCAATTTGATATTCAAAATTTAATGAGAGAATTTATGGGAAGCTTGTGTTTGAGGATAAAATTCGAATTTTATCCACACCACGTTTTCCACAAAATCACAAATTCCTATATTTCACGGGTAGACAAGCTATTGCATCACTGGCCCCCGGATCTCTCCGCATTTTCCCATCATTCAGGTTCACCACGAAATTTATAGTCTCTTAAAAAAAGCTAAAGACACGGTTTTTCCCATGATTTGGTATTTTAAAAGCTGAGTGTGTCACGCTGATTTGAAATTCATGGTAGAGTGCAGCTAGGCGGCTTTGCAATTGGAGAGGGCTTCCTCGAGTAATCAAACCACGAGGCCAGAATATACGATCGTTTTATGGTTGCGATGCAACGAGTGAGTGTTCACCATTCAGTTTAACGTTGGAATACTCCAGTGCTCCTGTGTCATGTAAATCGCAGCGGGAGCTGCTCCAATCCCTTCCAGAGATAGTCAAAATTCAAGAGGCGGACACCCAAGTTTTTGTGGCGAATCTTTCACACGTAATCCCGCTAAACAAAAGGCATCCTTTTTTTATCATTTAATCTACCGCTCATGGAGAATTAGGAGTCTTCCACCTTGCATTCCAAATGAGTCTCCAAATCCCCTCACACTGAACAAATAAAATTAATAGCCGATTCTCTCTGTCCCTCTCAATCACTCTCCTGTACTATTTATTATAAACTCATCTTCTTATTAATTGCACAACTCATATTTAACAGTATTTTCTCATGAATGAAATATTATGACATCCGTATATTATTGGAACAATGGGTAAATGATTTATCGGCGATGAAGCGATTTATTAAATCGTAAAAGCTTCCCCCTCATTTGTTAGCAATTTTCGATAATTGAATTTGTCGGAGTTAATTGGACAGAAAATAAAACTGGCATCGCCACTCTCGACGATCCGGCTTCCTACACATTCTACCATTACACGATGTCCAACGGATCGTAACACTGATAGTTACTGTCAGGTGACAATTTTATCGTGTCAATCTCGGCTAATTATCCATCAACTCTGCCACCCATCAGTCTCCCCTCGATTTTTCTTCTTTTACTTTAGCACTCCTTCTCATCTCCTTGGAAATGAGGACTCAGAGACATTTTAAAAAATAAAATAAACACGCGATTTTCCTGGAGCGATATGCACCGAGTACGCCCATCATACTTTCCACCGCAGTTCAAGACATCACTTGGTAAGAGCTATGGAAGGCCATGGCCCTGTGGCCTACGGGCTTTTTCTCCAGAGATATACGACGCGGTCGACTTGAACGTTACGACATTTTTTATGTTCCTGCGTGTACCGAGATAAGATTCTCGGCTTGTGGTATATTTCTTTTGTGTTTTAACTGGAGAAAAAAAAAATGCAAATCATTTCAAGTACCTGAGAATATTTAAGGATGAAATATGAAGGGGAATCTATTGTTTTCCCTCATTTTCGACTGAAATTTCCAAGTGAAAATTATATTTTCACTCAATTTTGTGTGATCGCCCTTCACCAAGTCGTCATGAAAAAATATATATCTCCCTGGGAGAATTGTTTTCAATAAAAAAAAAAAATCACAAATGCTTTTTCAAAATATTCTTCTATGAATGCTGAAAAATTGGTGGATGGAGCCTGAATTGCATCATCAACCAAAAAGATCTATTGAATATGAACAATAAAAATGAATCTCTTCCCCGGATAATTATCCTGCTTTCACCAGAAACAATCAGGCTGATCCAGGCCTCGATGAGCCAATTACCGCAACTCCTCGAGATTCCCCATCACGCTGAAGGAGCTTATTAAGTCCTCATAGTTGATCGACGAGAGTCACGACTATTGTTGCCACAGTAGTGTAAAAAATATTGAGTTTACAAGGAAAGCGCGTGGGATCGTAAGGTGAGGGAGTCAATGCCATTCTGGAGGAAGTGTTTGGAGCTCTAGAGGTAGTGGCTCTAAGTGGGTAGAATGCATCCAGTAGCTCATAATCTAGAGGGAAGTGGTTCGTGTAGGCGAACACTCGCCCCGGACTAACGAGTTTCTAGAAGCTGAGATAGTACCTCTCGATACTATTGGGAGGTAACGAGAGTGACAATCCTTGCCCATTCGACAAGACCACAACGCTTGTCATTCCACTGGTGCTATTATATGTCCTCATACACTGATAACTCGTCAGGGCAAACGCTTGAGTGCTCATAAAGGCTTCATGTTTAAATGTCATTAGAGAAACGTGCATCTGTCATTAAATGTGACAAATAAATTCACACCAAAAATATGGATTATCATTTTTTTTTTATTCACCCACCCCCTTTCCCTCTCCCTTCCCCGTCGTTCGTTGACGAACGATATTCGATATTTGTTTTGGAGAATTGCACGAGAAATAGGAGTTATTACCGTCTTCGGATTGATTTCATCAGTAATTGATGGAGGCTGAAATGGAATATTTTCTTCCCATTTTTTTTTCTTTCTCTTCATTATGAAACCGGAGAGAGAATTTTTAACAAGAGAGTTTCCCCTTTGTTTCCCTTTATCATCAATGCCTCTCTTTCCTGCATTATCTATGATCGTGTTTAAAGGCCCCGTTCGCTCGTAAAAGTGCCATCATTTATTCGAGCGTTAGAAAGCCTTTCAGTTCAGAGCATCAAAACATAAAAAGGGAATGTACCATTTATTGTACTCTCATGTTTATATTCTCTTAACGATGTTTCGAGTGGAAAACTATGGGATTTTTGCGGCTCTCTTCTCGTGATTAACTGTACAATAGGTGAAATTTATTTATGAGTGAATTCAATAGGTTGAGGAAGTGATGAACCGAGAGATGTCACATGAATTATTTGAAATATCTCTTAAACTACTGTTCACAATTTGAGATTAAAAATTCAAAAGGTTTTTAATGGATTTTTTTTTTCTCGAAATAAAGACGGAGATGTGATTTTTTCCATTTGAAATGGTCAATTTATTTCTCCTAACTGTTTTTCGTATTATTTCAACCCGAAACGTGAAAGCAGGAAATATACATTTCAACTCGGCATTCATCTCTCGCGGAGTGGAACACAAACACAATTAGAATTTCAAAGAGTCTTGTTTGGACAGTATCCCCTACAACCACAACAATCGATTTGTTATTGAGAGAAATCCATTTTTTAAAGTTCGCAATGTATTTCACTTTACTCTAACAAGCTGTACCTTTTCGCTAATGAATTATATTAATTGTTGATCAAATATAGAGAGCTCATTCTAATTAACGGCGGACAATAAATAAATCTTATTTTCCCTTCGATTTAATTTTCGAAGGGAATCATGAAAGCGGAAAATACCATGAAATTCACCTGCCCATCCCCATCTCCAGCAATTGAAGCTGAAACATGATTAGAATTTCAAAGAGTCTTGTTTGTACAATATTCTCTGCAAACAGAACAATTGATTTATTATTGGAGGGAATTGAATAGCGAGAGTCGCTGTGTGTCACTGTTAATTAACTTTGTCGCTTGTACGAGCGCAGCAAAGTGAATTCTTCGTTTACACCGGACCAATCGATGTGCAACAATGGACCAGTTGTAAACGAAGTTGAAGAGCAGTGGATTGGAGTACATAATTTTCCGGAAAACAATTAACTTTGATTACTGAAGTGGAAGGGAAAGAGAATTCAAGATTAAATGGTATCTAAAGGGGAATTAATTTGTTGTGTACCGCCTGCCAGCTCAACTACGAAAATAATACCAATTCTCATCGGCACATATCACAGATCAATACTCGGTAACATTCCATTGAGTACATTTTTCCTGGACCAGTGCGTGACTGGTGCATCAAAATAATTGGCTTAAAAGGGCATTTTTATGGGGTCCATACATTCCCGAACGCGAATTCATGGAATTGTCATTCACGGGTGTTATCGGGACTATTGTACTCGTGGGATACAATAACATCGACAACATTTTTTAGGAAAGAATGGATACGATTGGAAAGCAGCAGTGGTGGAGGGAAATTTCACTAGCTCCGAATAAATTGCGGGAGCATTTCTATTTTTTTTTTTTCGCCAAAAATTCATTAATTCTACTTCGATTTTTCGTTTAAGGGTAAACGAGAGCGCGGAGGGAATTTTTTTCATGAAAATTTAAATCGTTTTTTCATCGATCGATCGTTGATCTCACCGAGTGATTATTTGCTGGCAAAAATCATGACATGATGATTATTGATTTCATGTGATTTCAGACGATAATAAAATATCAGAAACGTAAATGATGTAAAAATAAAAATAAAAAAAATACTTTACCCGATGTAAAAATGGCGATGGAGAGTGAATTATTTTTTCACCAAGCTTTTTCATCAACCAAAGATATATTCCCCATAAATTCATGTCGTAGATGACAATAAAATCCTCAGGGAAGGGTAAAAAATAAAATGGCTTTTTCCCTTACATAACATAAACCGTTACCACTTCCCGCTGAGCTCCACGGGCATTTATTATTGACCCTATTGTCCGTCAGTGGTCCAACTTTCGGAAATACTGTGCAAATAATATAAACGAAATTTATGAATGTGGCTCCTTCCGCCCCAGTGAAGAAATGCAATAAATCTCTCGGGATGATAAAAGTATGGCTCTGTCTCGTGTTTTCAGGTCTCAGCACCTCGTTACCCAGCAGTCGTAAAACTTGGTCATGCACACGGTGGCATTGGTAAAGCTCGTGCTGAGAACAACCAGGAATTCCAAGATTTAGCATCACTGGCAGCTCTAACAACAGTCTATTCCACATCGGAGCCCTACATAGACACCAAATACGACGTTCACGTTCAGAAAATCGGCAATAATTACAAAGCATTCATGTGAGTGGTATCACTCGTTTAAATTGCCCAGATTGATTATAGCCGAGTCGATCCCTAATTGTTCCCTAATTATTCTAATTAATTCACCGCAGGCGGAAGAGCATCAGCGGTAATTGGAAATCCAACACGGGATCGGCGATGCTGGAGCAAGCATCGATGACGGAGAGATATCGAGCTTGGGTTGACCATGTTTCTAATTTATTCGGAGGTCTCGATATTTGTGCTATTGAATTATTAGTGGGTAAGGATGGCCGCGAGTATATCATCGAGGTTAATGACAGTGCATTGTCATTGATGGGGGATTCCCAGGAAGAGGACAGACGTCAAATAGCTGATCTTGTTGCTGCTAAGATGCAAGTGGGTATCCCATCCCGTCCTCAAATTATTAACTTACCAGCGAATGAATCGGTTGATAATCAGTAAACCAGGCAGGAGTAATATTGACGTCTTGATCGAGGAATTTTTTTCACGTCTGCGACTTGTGATTTTTATTTTCACAGGCTTGCTGTAGACCGCAAAGTGTCTTGACTAAGACAGCATCGAGGGGATCAATGTCAGGTGCGAGTCAAGCAACGAGTCCCGCGGAAGAGCGTGGACCACCATCTGGGCCCCCGCCTGGACCGGCGCCAGTCCTCGGTGCTCACCCACCCATTGGCTCCATGGGTTCCATGGGTAGCATAGGCTCGAGCATTGGTGCGACCACCGGGGCTGATGTTACGAAATCCGATAGCCATGGACAGCTCGTACGAAGGGACTCCCAAGGTACAGATCATCCTTTCATTTTTTTTTTTCCCCAGGAAAAGAAAAAAATCTCTCCGCTAAAAAATTCCTGACTACTCGTTCTTGGTTGACATTTCGAGAGCCACTTCCTCATCGTGCAATTAAATCGTGAATTTTTCGCAATGTAAAAATAAAGCTCTCAGTCGAGAACAAATTGATTGAAACATTGTATCATGAAAATTCAGTGAACCAAAACGTATTTACATGAAACACCAGCTCGTTCTGATTCAATAAACAGAATGGAGAAGTCTGCAGCGACAGTTTGTTGATAATTGACTATCGACCACACTGATAGTTCTTCATACTAGCCCCTCACATATCCATAACTAAATCCACGATAGACATGAGCCGTCCTGTCTGAATTGGGCGTGTCCAGCGGACAATTACCCACGAGTAATTGCCCAGGTTTCTGCCCCCTCTTCTGGGTGGCTGTTGCCAGGAGTTATGCTGCTCACTTATCAACCACTAGCCAACGGGTTTTTCCTACGTGAACAGTTTGATCTTTGCGAAATTATTTAAATCCGCTGTTGTGAAAAAATGCATTAAACCTTGGAGAATTTAATCCCTTTAATAGTCTTCCATGGATTTTTTTTTAAATCGTGGAATTTATGGTTTTTATCGGCAATTCTATCCCGTCGGAATAAAAAATCATTCCATTTTCCAGATTAAATACCAGCTATCTTTTTATTGGTGTATCAAATCGATACCGAGTTATTTATTTGGCCTTCATAACGAGAAATGCCAGAAACATGAAAAGATATTTAAAATACCTAGTCTGATGCGTTATCTCTGTGAATTTTTAATGACAGCATCTCAATCGAGCACAGTGAGCAGTGCCCCGTCAACAGGACGTCGTGCCGACGAACCGCCACCCCTGCCCCCATCCCGAGTACCATTTCACCGTCAAGGAAGTCAATCGCAGCCGTCGACTGGCGAAGACAGCGAGGACACCATGAAAAATCTCCGGAAGACATTTGCCGGTATATTTGGAGAGATGTAGAATGCGTAAAAAAAAAAAACATTTAATATTTCATAATCCTGGCTGATGCGACGACAGAGCTGAGTATTGGGCATTAAAATATAATGGTGAAACGATTGAAACTGAGAGAAGAATGGAAAATAATAATTAAACCGGTATTCTAATGAGGGGCAATGAGAATGGGAGAAAGAATTCATGGCGTCTGGGCGAGTGGCGATCACCTCGACGTGAAACATTAAACCCTGGGAGATTAAAGCTCGTGAGTCCGACAGTACTTACTTATACATTCGCAGATTATAGCGAGATGGTTAATAGCCATTTATTTCACTTGTACTTTATTCTGTCAGCTTTTCATCGACTCACGTGCAGAGAAAAATCTGTTCATAATTGTTATTTCAACGATTTTTCAATAAACTCTTCGTAGAAATTGATCGGTCCACTTCTATTATCATTTCCTTCATTTTTTAAAATTGAAATTTGAAAAATCCAACGCATCAATAAATTCTGTATTTTACGGAAAAAAAAAATGAAAAAGGGAGGCTGTGGTTTTTCCTGCACTCTACGCTTCCGGGGGTTGTGACATAAATTTGTGAAATTATCAACAGATTGTTCTCTCTCTGAGGTTGCGGTGATATTTAATGACAATGGAACGGGTATTGGTGCGATATTCGGTGGTTATTCTGATGCACCGGAAATTGTTCACGCGATTGAGTGGTTATCTGTGAGATTGGGATGATGAATTAAATTCGATGAATAGCCCATGATAAATATGATCGATCAATCCCGTTCATTGTCCCCTTTATATTTTTGCCATCGCAATATTATTGGAGATATAATGTACTGACGAGGAGGTACTGCAAACGCACAAGTAGTTGTTAAGCACATTTGGATACACAGAATATGAAAATTCGTATTGCCATTGGAGTAATGATGCAAAAATGTGAAAAATAATTGGTGAATTTTTGTAATTAATTTCTCCATCGCGAATATGATCTGCTGATTGTATGGGAAAGAGTACACGGGACAGTACAAAAGATTAATATCAGTAATGAATATTTAAACGCCTTGGCCTATGCACAATAATTGGAGGCAAAAATGACTGGAGTGAATAAAATCGGATGAAATTAACGGAGATGAGTCGAGATAATCAAAATGAATAGGGAGGAAATTCAGAGGTTGTTGAAAATGAGGAAGGAGGATCGATGAATGCAGCGCGCAGCCTCGGGTTAATGATAAGAAATATCTCAGGGGTGCTATTCAATGCACTAGGTAAAACGTTAAGAAAATAAACACAAAACAAAACTTTATAAAAAAAAAACCAACAGATAAAGATAGACGAGCCAATTGTGTTGTAGCTGAATGAGATCTTTCCATATAATAGAGGCCGATGAAAGACAAAAACCAAGAGACGACAGAAAGGAGAGAAAAAAGTAAGCGCGGAATAAAAAATAATTAAGAGCCTCGTGAAAATCCCTCGAACCAAAAAAAAAAAAAAATCCTGAGAATTAGCAAAATAAAAGTGACCTAAAAAGACATATAAAAATAGTTGAACTATCAAATTTATTGGGTTGAGTTTTAATTAATCAAAGGAGAAAATATAAAGCCAACGGAGAATAAGTGGCGAAAAATAGAAAAAGCCCACAGTGCCATGTTGCTTAGATGAGTGATGAAAAAAAGAAAATTGTTAACTCCTCCAAATTCTCGTGTTACGTGCTACAATCATTTATCCCCTAAATGATTAACAACAAATCTACCTGAATAATCACTAGACAGAGAGTGAGCACAAGCACGGAGAGTTGGATTTATAAATGGCTGAAGTTCGAAGCATAGAGTTGAAATGACTCTGGTGTTACCATAATTCATAACTCAATGATAAAAGTTGTTGAAAAAATCGTGTATCATCACAATTAAAAAAAAAATAATAATTTTGTTAAGTTTAATTGGACAAGCCGCATTTAGCAACATTTCAACGATCGTTTACTCATTCCCTATAGACCAATAAATGAAAAATAGTTGATTCGAATCACCTATCAGTAACAATAACGGAACATAGCGATATCGTTGAAACATACTCAATTATAATACTTGTTAATTATCGAATAATGAAAGTTTTCTACGCGTCGCGGCTCTAATACGAATAATTGTTACAGTTACCTTGTGATTACTTTCATGAATAACTCATGATATTTTGCTGATTTGTTCTCCCGATATTATTTCCACCTTGATTATTGATTCTTATCTACGGTCGTGATGTCAAATATAATTAATTCAAAAGCTCCTCCCATCCCCCACCCATCACCCCACAATCCCGAGATCCTCGAAACTAATTTTCCCTGGTAATTAAGGGTGCTTGTGAAGAATATAATGATTTTATGAGCCTCATATACATAGAAATTAGATTAGCTGAAAATGGAAGCGAGGGTGGTTGCCGCGACACAGATTTCATTATCTGTGGTCTTCCTCGTTTCCATTTTCAATTTATTCATCATCTTCTTCAGTACTTCGTCCTGCAACGAAACTACGTATAGGCAGAGTAAATGAAGAGTAAACATCAACATTCTCAACAAATATAGATGAAATAAAGAATTTAGGGATAGACTTTCAATGTCGACTGAATAATCATCTGTTACTGCATTTAACGACAATCGAGGTATCAATGACGTGTTGGGCCCTCGATTAATAGATTCTAACTTCTTGTGCATGTATCTCAACGCTATAATAATCTTACGATTATTAGTTTCCACCGGAAACTAATGGAATTTCAAAAAGACAAATAACGGAATAGTAACAGTAGACGGATTGGGGCGCGATCCATCGCGCACACCGTGAAATGTTACCCTCTTGATTTCAAGCGCGTGCTAGTCACATACATATATTAACAATAAAACACAATATGAGAATGGTTAATGCATTGTAAGGCGCCATTCTCATTTATTATCACGATATATGTGTCATATGTGTGTTATTTAATCTAGTAGCTACGTGTCGATCGTTCAAATGCGCCGGTTTAATTGCCACCATAATATAAATAAATAATCGGTCTTAAAATAATACCACAAAATTGACGTTTGGCGCTTGCATATTCATGGCTGCAAGGAAAATCATATGAAAATTTGAAATTGGCAAATGGCGGGGTCGCCGATGCGGCAAGGCACGACTCCCCAATTATTTCTCTACTCATTAATTCAGTGTAAAATTAACAACGAAAAGAATAAATAAATAAATAAAAATTGCATCGCAGGATGCTGTTCAATGATCAAATCAGTGAGGTGGGGAGATTTGGATAAATTAATAGCAATTAACAGAATCAGTTGATATTGGCCAGCAGCCTGTTCATCAGTCGTTCACACAGCAGATATCACCTCTTAACTATGTGATTATTAATGAATACAGTAGCTGCAGGCACACTATTACTTAATAATTATCACACAATAACCGACTAACTAATAAAAGATTTAAAAAACGAAAAAAAAAATACCAAAGAAGTGAAGTATAATTAAGGATACGTTGAGGGAAAGATTAAATCATACTTAAAATGCGAGTTCTATCTGTCATCGTTACTATTAAGAATTATCGGAGTTTGGAAAAACTCTAAAATTAGGATTAATTAAGTATTAAGAGCATAAACGTGTAGCGTGGGGGCGTAGAACATTACTAATGGATAGAGAAATAAAGAGTGAGGAAAAATCCCAGAAATAGGCGTAAATGAAATATGTAACGTACCCTTAACCCTTTGCCGGCATTTCAAGGTGCTTGATACTTGGACTTTCAGATGAATAACCAGAACAGTGGACCGTTTGACTGATAACACTGGCTTCTGGTGAATTAGGCCTGGGGATTAATATCCCCGAGGGCACCAATTCGAGTGTCACAATTAGGGCTAAACTCGAGCGCATCACCAGAAACGTGAAATTGTTCATTTGTGATTTGAATCAGTGGTGGGCAGGAGCCACTGGAGTTTGATAAATCGTTTATATCCACAGGGTAGAGAGAAGCTCGAGTCATTGGAGATGTTGAAGCACGCAAGTGCGCTCCAGCTCTCATACCCCACATGAGGATCACATGATTTGTCTGCTTGCGTGCCACTGTCCACTCTAATCACCTTGAATAACTCAGCATAAACAATTGTTAATGATCAAACGATAAATAATAAATGTCCAAGATAATTCATCAAACACGTCGGATAGAAGTCTATGATTTACCAATCAACGGTGCACTTTAACCCGAAATTAATAATAAATCTAATGGGTATTGATAAATCGATATGTAATCATCGAAATTCTGGGAAATTACAATTTTCACTGTTGCTAATCACTGAAAGTTGATTAGGTAATGAAGTATTATTTACCATGGATGTTTCGCATACGGTAATTGACTAAAGTGGATAATTCAAACTCACGAGTGTGTATTATTTTTATCAATTTAAGAGGATGACGAAAAAATTATAACTAATTAGTAATCAAATAAATGACGTTACCGGCTGTCGTAATGATAATATATAAATATGCTATCTATAGAGGATTTAAATACGTAAGTTGATAAACGATTTGTGGTAAATGCGCACTGTAATGGCGAGGTAATTAGTCATTTAAACGGTGATTTATAGGTAATGGTGAGCGAGGCTGGGCCACTCCGAGCCCGATCATTGCTGAGAAAAAAATCGAGAGATTATTGCCATCCTCGGGAATGAGTGGAACATCCTCGGTGCCAAGTTAGAGTCGGCACGTTATATATGTGGATGCCCTTTAGATTTATCTGTTGAATTATTATTAATATATTAATATACCATAAGGTAATGTGTAACAGCAAAATAAAACAATGGGGTCGCAACAAATCTCATTTGTCATTAATTGTTTCCCAATTCAATTACAGGAGAGCCAGTGATTGAGCGATTGGATTTCGGGTGATTGTAATCACACGAGGGGCGAGGGGCGTTGGCGTAAAGTTGGTTTGGACATGTGTTAATTACTGTATTAGGGTGATTTTGCTTTAGAAGATTGTCTTATCGAGCTCGGTGTTGAGGGAACAGTTGCGGTACATGCCACCTCGGCTCAGGTGATTGCTGAAGGTGGTGTTCCGGGGGTAGAACGTCGTCGGGACAGTGTGAATTGTCGGTGTGTACCAGCCGTAATCCATTGACGTACTCCGGTAGCAAGGATGGGGTTTTGACACTTCTGTTTGTCGATAGCCCTTGAAGACTCCTAAGAAATCCAAACAAACGGATCCATCATGGATGATTTAATTTTTTTTATGGAATTACCTATAATGAAAATTCCTAAGATGAAAATTTGACAATTATCTGAATTACCCGAGTGCCATAAAAAAAAAATAGATTGCCAGCAGCTAAACTTCCTCACAACTGTAAGGCTCCTGACTGCCAGTGCTCTCACACCTCACAAATCCCTTGACAATCGTCAAATTAACACTCAAAGTTCCATCAATGATAAACCCGGGCTCAATCGAAACTTTCCCCATCATCTCGAAAATGGACATATCAACAGACTCGAGTTCATTTCCACTGAGAAAGAGAAACGACAAACCCTCGAGGCCTTCAAAGCATCCAGCCTGGAGTGAACCGATGCGATTTGCATTGATCCACAATGAATCCAATGAGGCCATATTGCGGAAGAGTCCAGTGGGTATGGATGTGATGCGATTTCTCGATAAATCCAGCTCATTGAGCTCGGTCAGTCCACGAAAGAGATCCTGATGCAGCGAGGTGATTTCATTCCTGGAGAGATAGAGGAGATCCATGTGTGGAAGAGCATTGAAAGTGCCAGTGGGAATGTCTGTGATCTCGTTAGCATCGAGGGCCAGTGTCTCCAGCTGTCTGAGGCCCCTGAATATATTTTTCCTCAGGACAATTGAGTTGTTGGTGGCGTACAGCTCCCTGAGGGACGTCAAGCCCTTCCAAATCGTTGGCCCCAATCTCGTTATGCGATTTCCATCGAGTAGAAGTGTCTCCAGGCTCGAGACTCTCACGAATGCCCCGTCCTCAATTTCCGTGATATCATTGTTCTTGAGATCGAGATATGTCAGTTGATCGAGGGCATGAAAATAGTACTTTCTGATCAATCGGAGACGATTGTCTGACATGTAGAGGGCCGTGGCATTTCGCACATCGTGAAATGATTTCTCTGACGTATCGGTGATATCCAGGGACTCGATGTGGAGCTCGATGTCGTCGATCGTTTGAACGGCCGTCGTGTCCTCGAATGCCAAGTTCTCGAGGTGATTCAGGTCGTTCAGGCACACGTACAGGTGATTGGACACACGACAGTCCGTTGTACCCACTGGGTTTGACCGGCATTTCAAGAGGATGTCGAGGAGAATCAGCGTTATTCCAGAGAGATTCATGACGGGTAATCACTTGCGAACCACTGATTTCGTACTGGGGGAACTCAATGACTGACGACTTAATAAGTTATCGAACCTCGGCATTGCTTGTGTTGGGGTGATTATTTTGAAGTTTGCACTACTGAACTCGAATCATATTATTGTGCCATTTGACGTCCGCCGTTTTTTCGCAAATCTCCGATATTCATGACTGTCTCATCCTCTCTCGCTGATTGCTAATATTCAATTAAATTGAATAAAATGTTGAATAATAAAGAATTTAAAAGAGAGATGAGAAAAGTAGCGGTTGAGCCGATTAGATGATTTAGAACCGTTCATTATTGGTTTTCTTTTGTTGACAAGACTTATAATTAGATAAAAGAATTATGAGAGCGGATAAGACTGGCGGGGCATTGCTCGTTACGCTCTCGTGCATAACGTTATCAATGAAAAAGGGAAAAAACAGCGATAGCGCACAGGGAAATGATAGAACAGCGTAGTATTAACACTTTCCACAAATTACAAATGGTAAATGGTGAGGGGGAAGGGGAGTATTCATATTCATGGGAAGCAGTGACAACTCACGTGGATACATAAATCGCAGTGGAAGATTGCTTGTTCGATAAGTCTCGTCTGTACGTGGACCCGGAGGCTGATAACTTTCTTCGTTCGTGTATGCTGTCTTGGTTTCGCCGTATGAGCACGGAATTTCAAGCATTTTTTCAGCGTAAACCGGCTAAACACCAATTGTTTATTCTTTCGGACGAAAATTTCTGGGAGATGTTGCGTGGGAATTGGCGGAATCGTTTGTTTTGTTTCCATGGAAATCATCGAGGGTTTCAAATTCGTTATTCAGCGGGCTTCAATTTATCGATGTGGTTATCATAATAATTAATCCAGCTCGAATTCAAACGTTGAATAAACAATACAGATATATTCCGCAATGAACAGTGAAGAGTCGGTTTAGGAAATCGGTAAGGTCTTCAGGCGCGTCGCTGAATCTAGAGGATATATTTCCCGCAATTTTTCCGAGGAGAAAAAATATTGTTTTTTTTTTTTGTGGAGCCAGAGATATTCCCCGAAAATTCATCGATTTGCGAATTCGAAATTCAAACCGATTGCAAAATCATAAAGCTTTTCAGGAGCTTCTGGAGATGTCGCAGGTATTCAGCCGAACCCCCGTCTCCATCTGTCGTTGCACCCTGGCATCTTGATATTTAAAGAGGATAAAGAATTATTCGAATTTTCAAATTTCCGTGAATACCTCCTCGATTTTTATGCTACCCTGATACTTTTTTGAAAATTTTGAATTTTTCAATTTCAGTGAGTGCCTCCTCCATTTTCATTCTCTCCGGATATTTTTTTTTTAATTTTGAATTTTTCAATTTCAGTGAATACCTCCTTAATTGTCATGCTCCTCTGATATTTTTTCAAAAATTTCGAATTTTTCACTTTCAGTGAACATTTCAGTGAATAGCTCCTCGATTGTCATGTTACCCTGATACTTTTTCAAAAATTTCGAATTTTTCACCTTCAGTGAACATTTCAGTGAATAGCTCCTCGATTGTCATGTTACCCTGATACTTTTTCAGAAATTTCGAATTTTTCACTTTCAGTGAAAATTTCAGTGAATAGCTCCTCGATTGTCATGTTACCCTGATACTTTTTCAAAAATTTCGAATTTTTTAATTGCAATGAATACCTACCTAAAGATAAAATTGGAATTATTTTGAAAAAAAAAATGAATAACGGCGGGATCGATCCCTGGCCGTCGGCGTGGTAGGCAAGCACGTTGCCGATTAGACAACGCGCTCATTCTGAAAATATAATTTCATTAGTAGTATATGTTCAACATATTGAATAATTTTTTTCATTGAAATTTCAGTCAAACAATTAAAAAACAAAAAGCATTTATAGCGCAGAAAATTCACCACGTCGACTTGATGGACACTCCAGCATGGCATGTGGCGCCCTCTCTCTCTTGGGGTGCAGTACTACGATGCCGCTGGGGTCACTCAAACCCCCAGAACTGAGCCTCTACTTTAATCAATCCTCTCTGATGTTTACATTCTGAAGTATTTCATCAGCAGGCGTGTATTGTCAAAGAGTTGTCCAACGATTTTCTGCGATTGCCTGGAAGATTCTCCAAAAATCTCGACAAAAACTCATCACCTAACGCATCGACGATGTCGATTTGCCAGACTCCTGTGAAAAGTGTCGAGGGGAATTACTACGGATGTTTACACAAGCCGAGTTAAAAATTATTCAAACACAGTGTTGATTAAGTGTCCATTGCGCGTTTGGAAAGGAGTGAATAATTCATCTACGTTATAAAAAAAATAAAACAACGACCGACAGGATGCAACAGGAGGGAAAACCAAAGTTCCTGAAGTATCATCAGGGCAGCGTGAGGAGTGTCGCATTCAGTCCAAGGGTATTTTAAGAAATGGAGAATATTTATTTATAGAAACATTGAAAAACGAGTTCCAGGGGTACTTGATAAACCACTAACTAGTCTACTTTTCCACGTTCCCATCGATGTCTGTTTATCTCGATAAACCTCGATGCTTTGAGAAAAATAAACAGGCTTAATCCTTTTTTGAAAAAAAAAATCCATAATAAAATATCTTGCTGTGGAATGAATATTCATTTGGGTATTACTATTGACAGTAGACTAATTGAAAATTTTTATATTTAGTTATGGAAGCCCTAGGAATTAATGAAGGAATTTTTTTAGGAGCGATATTTATTTTGCTCCGGTGGCTACGATGGAAAAATTATTTTCTACTCTGCCCTGCGGATGGAGTCACTCAGGAACTACCAGATAACACCTCATTATATCACCCAGGCGAAGAATGTTAATGCCGTTAAATTCACCTCCGACGGATCCAAAGTACTAATTCGCTCCATAACAGTGTAGTAATTGTCTCGTTGTTTAAACAATTAATGTATCCTTCTGGTTAATAGGTCACAGCAGTTACCAATGCACGTAGATTAGTGGTGATTGACGTGGAGAAAGGGGCACAACTATCGAGTTACGACAATTGTGCTTGGGGGGGAAAAGATCGCACTGGATTGGCGACTGATCCTGCCAAACCGAATATAGTTATTTTTGTTACTGTTAATGGAAAAGGATTGACACTGGTGGATCTCAGAATGCCTCTACCCTTGCATTTTATTTATGACGTGAGAGCAATCCCTTTTTTTTAAACTCAGATCGATTGTTTTTCACATAAATATGAGTTTGTCATGTCCTCTGTAGCTACATGGCTCTACCATAAGGGACATATGCTTTTTGCCATCCTCGTGGCCATGGCAAAATTCAATATTGACTTGTGGCATCGATGGCACGTGTAAAGTATCATCTCCCGATGGACGGGTAATGCATTCCTTCCAGACTGGACACAGTGTCAACACTGTTTGTGTCACACCCGAGCCTTTCAGCCAAACTGCTGAAGATGGATATTACAGTACGTTCACCAGCAAATATTTACCTCATGTATCACGGAAGAGCGGTTTGATCCATTGATCCTTTCTCATTCAACAAGTCGACCTCCTTCAGTCGATATTTTTTCCAAATTCCTATGATGATAATATCTACTTTTTTTTTTATTGGCTCTTCAGGTTTAATGATGAGCGGTGGAGATCTCGTATCCGCCTACGTACCGAACTCTGGTATTCAGCAATTGCTCAAGGAACACAACAATTCTCCCGTGTGGAAGCTGCGTTACACTTCCAATGGAAGTACTTTGTTTTCTGTCTGTGACGGAGGAATTCTGAGGCGTTACAGGAGATACCCTGACCATCACGAGCATCTCGGTGAGATTTATCGTCACAAGGGGGACATACAGGACCTTGACGTCTCGCCGTGGGACGAATGTATCCTTTTGAAAGCTTCGAACACTTCATTCCGAATAAATCTCTCAGATTATTTCTTAATAATTTAAATAAGATGTCATCACTGCTTCCAAAGATCGCAGTGTGGGAATTCTCCTGCTGGGCTCGCCGAATCACGGCTTCACAGAGTACACTGAACTCACCTGATGTCCAAAAACAATGAATTCCGTCCCATCCACCGATGTCGGCCTAACTCGCCCGGAATTAATATTAAAAATATTATTCATGTTGAATATTAATTTTTGTAACTTGATATTAAAGATAAGACGTTGTCATCTAAGTACATGAGAAAATTATTGAGAAACTGTATGGCTGGGGAAATTCGAGGGAAATAAAACGGGAGGTCAGTTAAAAATGGCATTGAATGGTTCTTCGATTGTCTCCGGAGGAGATCCAGTTGTCAAAATTTTTCTGCACCATTTTTTTTTCAATTCAGAGGACTATTGATGCATAATATTGATCCCGTAATTTTAATCTCACTACGCCGGGTTCTCTATTTTCGTTCTGTTTGCTGTATCGACAGAAGAAATTGGTGATAATGGAAGGCCGTTAATCATTCCAGGACAAAAGTAAAAACATTTATGAGTGTCCCCGAGTGGTTATCGTATGCGAAATAAGAAATGAGTTAGATACGGGCTCCCTGCCTTTTCCTCGTCGATCCGGAAGGGGTCAATGAGCCAATGGTAACAAGCCCACTGCTGTTGATTATTGTATACAATCCACCACCTGCATAATAGTTTTCGTGGGTGACAATTGCCGCTGAGAATACTCGCCTCGATTAGAAACTCCGAGACCGGTTTAAAAATTGACGCAACGCGCACATGTGATACCTCTTTCAATTCCATTTCCTCACTTTAAACTCGGTTTTACAGTGTTGGTGTTTGTTTAGAGGTAAGTTGTTCTCATTTTTTTTTTTCAAGTCTCCCCACCACTCGTTTAATGGTACAACGTGTGTGTAAGGCTTAATCAAATGTGTTATTATCAACTCGTCCAGTTGTGGTCTGGACAGAATGAATTCGTTACTTCAAAATGTTATCCCCTTCATTTTTATAAACTTGTATTATTTAGACATTGAATCGAATGGAATTTCTCAATTTTTTTCTAAATATTTTCTAAAAATAATTCAGTGATATATATAACAAGTGTATGATCCTATTTTACGTGCGCGAATTCAGGGCAAACCGATCGTAAAATTTCATTAAATTGTTCCAGGACATAAAATTCATAGGCGATAATATTTTTTTTTTAATGAATTCAATCAGCTATTTTTATACTCCTGATAAATCAGTTCTGCAATAGTGAGAAGGAGAGACTCGCGAGTGAATTGGAGCTTTGATGGTTTATGGTGATGGACGTTCATAAAATAAAAGCGATGGTCAAATAAAAGGTCAAGGCTCCATCCTGTGGTACCCCAAGGTCCCCGGCGTGGGTGGAATTTCCCTCCGATCTCGTTTGTACGCTGTCTTATCAAATTAATTGATTAGCAGCTTTCAAAGGGGAAGCGAATTTACGATAATCAACGGTCCATTGCGGTGTTCAGGACACCGCCTCAATTGTTTTTGAACACGTGTCGGAAAATATTGAAAATCAAGTGATCCTTTCGATTTGAATAAACACATTTTTTTATTGGAGAAAATGAATTTTTCCGCTCCAAGGCAATTAATCTTCAGATAAAATACAAATTGCAGTTAATTATTGCGTAAATGCAGTTGCAACTGGTGAAAAGGAAGAATTCGATAGCGGTGATGCCTCAGGAAAGGAACATTGAGCTGACGTACAGAATGAAATGTTACACTGTGGAGAATGAGAAACTTTTCGGTGACATAATTGTGACCCATCAGACAGTGGGTAGAATTTGTGTACCCGAAAATTGGCGAGGTACTGGTATTTACAAGCGCAAACGACGAAACTTGACACAGGAAACCTTAGAGACGCCAGACTTCATGGCACTCAACAGAAAATCCGGGAGAACCTCTCAGAAACGAAGAGCTATTGAGAAAGGAGCCAATATTTATGCCATCGGGTATGAGACGAAGGAGATTAATCGGAGTGAACAGGAGAGTGTGAGGAAGCCGAGGGTAATGATTTAATCGGCCACTCTCAGCGTTTTTTTTTTTTAAATTTCTCTCCCTCGGTTACATTGGGGGTAATTGATACTTTCCAGACCTACCCTCTGCCCATGGTGAGGGAATTGAGTCAGGAGAGGGCTATTTCATCGTTAGTTGATCAATTACTACTGGACATCTATGGGTTTCCCAGAGGTGATCGCTCCAGGTCTGAGAGTGAGTCCACTGTATCCTCTTTCAGACCTACCCCTCAGCATCGATATTTGCGAAAAACGAGATTGCTATTAAAAAGTGAGTGCATTCATTATTTCATCACAATTTCGATGGGGAGTCTTCCGTCGGTATTTTTATTTTTATATTCACGGTATATTTGAGAAATATTGGAGGAGTAAAATGCAGACAACGCCCCGTATTTTCCCTTGTTCTAAATTATTTTGTCCTAAATCGTATGGATATCCTTGAAATATTATTTATTGGGTGCATAAATAGGATATCCTCAGTTTAGGGCTACGACTCAATCTTGACCTTTTCCACTGGGGACAAAGTGAAATCCCCCGGTCTTCCTGGTGGCTTTAAAAATCTACGACACTAACTCCTCGACAACGGAAGTCACCCGGTGGCTTATCAATCCCCACAGACACGTCGCCTCTTAAATTTCCGGCGTCAATCCCCCCGGAAATTGGGCGTCACTTCGATTGAAACAGTAATCCACACTTGACAAAAATATAATGGAACATTCACTGAGTAATTTTCACCGGGAAGTTGTTTACAGTCTCTTGCGTATGTGTCACGAGTACTTGATGCTTGTACTGAGAAATATTATTCATTGAGCGCCCACGGGCATCTACGCCAGTTGATAATACCCTGTCAGGCCCATTCAACGATATTGTTATTACTGCATCTACGTGACGCACGTTTTCACCTCGTGCACAGTAATGGAACACTATAAATTTTATCTTTTCGTCGAGATATAAAAATGGGAGTCTCAGCTTATGATGGAGTTCCTCTGGGGTCGGAGATAAATCAGATGAACTGAGAGAGTCTTTGTTTTTTTTATTTTTTGATCAATAGATCCGAAAGAATTTTCCCTAAAATTTACAAAGAGTGGTGTTCATTGCTACGATTGCGAAATTGCAGATCTTTGAATTAATAATAAAAACGTGTTCCAGGTACTGAAGAACTGACCATAGTCCTGGAAACCCTGCGCTCTCATGTTAATCAAGCTGGGGCTCTTCTTATTCGTCAACTAAGGAGGAGGGATTATCTTCTCACTAAACGGGACAGACAGTACGACGTGATTACAGCTCATCTTCAGGCGTACAGTAACAAAAGAAGTATGTCACCAGCAGAACCGAAGCTTTCCATATTCCTCCATTTATTTATCCCCAGGTTGTCCCGGTATTTCGAGCATATCCACAGCACGAAGAGAAATTCTCAACAAAAATTCTTGAACAGTGCAAAATGACAGGCGGAGGAAATTTCATAAAAATACGAGAAAAAATTGAATGAGAGGAAATTTCCCGGTCTGATCAACATGCCGAATTAATTAATCAATCATTTAAACTACCGTGAATTTGATTGATTGTCGATTGATTTGATGCAATGGAATAATTTAATTAATTATTTCCCGGCCGTTACGGCCTTTTCTACTGCTGTCCTCGAATTTTCAACGGACATTTATCTCCGTGCAGTTTCCTTCACATTTTGTTATCACTTTTATTTTTCTCGGGGAAATAAAAGGGCAGGTGGTAATACGCGTGTTTGGAAAGAACTGGGCTGTATCAATACATCAGGAGCTCTCATTTTTATGCGCCGAGCATACCACGAGCTCAAGACTTTAATCCACTCAATACTCTGATCGTGAAATTGTTGGGAGTTGTAAAAATATTCTTCAGTCACGGCTTCTTGACATTTCCGAGGAAATCAGAATTTTCTTTTCTTTTCTTTCATCCCCATTCAACATTACTAAACTTGATTATAATTAATTCCTAATTTTTTTTTCGGTTTTTCGGAATTTTTCAGAAGGGAAAAAATGAGAAAATCCCACGAGTACTTTAGGGTCATTTAAAAGTCTGAGATGGTCTCGGTGAACTGTTCTAGTTCTGTGGTCTAGGCTGGTAGTAACTTGAAACTTTTTTAGTGATGAGGATCAAAGGCCCCGCATTGCGGAAGTAGAATAAATCCGACAATTCTGAATTATTCTCATAGCCGGTGTTATTCTTCTGATTATCAGGGGCAAGCTCCCTGAATTTTTTCCCAGGTGAAATGCAAGCTCTCGGTTGTACTTTTTGGAAAAGAACGTGTGAACTGGCACGCGATGTGGAGCCTCGTGGAATGATGAGTCTCGCGCGAGACTCTGCCCTGATCAATAATTACGCTTTGGACTATCGACCATCACGCATGCCCCAGCATGTTTCCCATCGAAGAATGTTCTTTTTCCTTTATTGGTTTTTCCCTGCATTTTCAGTGTCAGCGAGACCACTGGAAGAAAAAAGATTTACGCCCAGAAAAAAATATACCACAGCAGAACTCTCGATCCTCACTCTTAACTTCTCCTCTTCTCCTGGAATCAGTGATTTTTTTACTCAATTTTTCAGCACAGCGATATTTTCTTTTGCGAAGAAATAAGACAGAGAACTTTTAATTGAAGAGCATGTTGTCTTGGAAGTTGGTGTTATTCTCTGGGCATTCGTTGCGGTTCATGAAGTGAACATGAGAATGCCAGGAATTCGCGGGTCTTGGGGTCAGGTTCACCGGGAAATTAAAACTTCTGGTATCTCGGGACAATGAATAACATGATTGTCAAAGTTTTAACCACTTAATACAATTCCTTGAGAATGAGGCGAATTTGAATTTTAATGGAATACGCGGGGCGGGGATTTTTTTTTTTTTTTTTTCATTATGAATTGAATTTTTTTGCGACATTTTTACTGAAAGAGTAGTTCGGTTATTTAGTCGCAGGTTAAATAGATGACGGGATTGAAAGGTGGGGGGAAAGGTTTTATTTTCAGTATTTTTCGTGTGATTGAAATGAAATCGATGAATTCAGCGAGAATAAAATGGGGACCTCCGCCGATGAGCCTCCCGTTGAGATTTTTCCATTGACTGACCTGAATATAAAATTCTACCCGTGAATGAATAAAATGTACTCGTTGATACGAATCCGAAAATTTTCTCCTGCATTCCAGAAAATTGGCAGCAAGACGTTCGACTTGTTTTCACCGGACGAAAAAAAAAGCGCAGACTTATAAATACCGCTGCAAAAATCGAGTAAACTGTCATGAATCACCAGCACTTAACTAATTACCACTGAGAAAATTTATGAGAATTCTTATGCACCGCGAGAGAAATTGAGGGCACGTCGTCTGACCAAAAGGCGGTTATAACTCCTGAAAATAAAAAAAAATCAAGGGACAGGAAAAATTAAAAAAAACTGTCATTAATTCTCAAATATCTCCGCGGAGAGAATATTCCCTGTCCAACATATATTAAATTACATTAAATTAAATTGAATGATATTAATAAATTATTAATTGAAAAAAAACAAGAGCTAAAAGTGATTGAAGGGGGTGAGCCGAAAATGAAAAAAAATTGATAATGGGAAATTCCTTGAAAAAAACAAACCTCGACCGAAAAATGCACCCTAGTCTGGGAATGGAGGGGTTGAGCGCGCGCACATTGTTTGCGCCCCTCGACTTCTCCGTCAGGTCTCTCAGCTGACTCGTCGAGGCCGTCACGTAACGTTGGTCGTATCACGTCCCGGTTGAACTATCTCGTCAGATCCCTCAATCTTCTCCAAAGTGTCCGCCAGGCTCAGAGAGCTGCAAAAATTTCAAGTGAAATTCAATTGGTGCACTGCGTCAACCCCAACCCCCTTGGACCTCCACAGGGCCAACCCCCCAGCGACAAGTGCGTGCATTAATAAAAAAAAATAATCCAAACATAATAAAACTGGCAGTTCCTCAATCCACATGCGATGCAGCCTCTGTGAACAGTCGTGAACCCTGAACCCCGAGTGAATGGTAGCTGAAAATATCGGGCTCGTGGGTGAAATTGGGGTGAAATTGGGGTGAAATTTCGATACATGGAGATGAGAAAGTCGGTGGGAACTCTAATTAAATGCTTGGTAATTGATAAATGCTTGGGACTGTTGATGTGAGCAGTAATGAACCCGGAATGAACAGTAACGAGAGGTTATCGTCTTGCAGTGATAGTGGGTTATCCTCGTGGATATTTTTCATGCGCATGTGTTGGTGCACGAGGGCCGTGGGGTAAAAACCCAAGTTCGTGGGCGATAGTGTAGCGTGTGCGACAGCTGGGGTGGGGTGGCATTAGGCGGGGATTTAAGGGGGATGTGAGGTTTTTTTTTTTTCGTTCTCATACTCGTGAAATATTCTTGATTCTGCGACTTCCGAAATTATCACTCCTCCCTACAGTCATTCAATGAATAAAAATCGTTAATTAATATATTGATAATTATCCCCGATTTTATGCGGATTCCTTCAATTGTGATTAATTAGAGTGCAGTAAAAATATTGATTATTCTGGATTTTTAGAGTTGTACGGAGTTGTTGTTCCTGATAGCAGTATTGATAATAATTGTTAAAGGTCTATATTGGTGATTTAATAAGATTTTATGAGGATTGCTGAACTCGCTGGAAATTGAACAGCTATTGGATCGTAATTCGAGTGTTATTTGTAGAAAGAAATGATAATTAAATAATTGTTCGGTGGTACGTGATAATTAATTGGGTGGATTCAGCTGACAACGACAAACATCGAGTTTATTCCAATTAATGGGAATTCACTGGGATGATAACGATAATATTGAGGGGGAGTTGAGGTGTTGGAATAGTGTGAATGAGTCGAGAGGATTAGTATGAAGGTCAAGGGTGCTGGATCGACATTCGCTGATTGGATGAAAGAATTGTGAAGCAATGTGGCTCAAGGAGTTTCGATGGGACAAGAAGTTGTTCAAGAATTATTGGTACTTCACGAGGGGTGCAATCATGCGGGCATTTGGTGGTGGCAATTTGTGGGGGGCAAGGGGGATTCTATGGTCTGTTTAAAATTGGGGAGATGGTGACGTACGGAGTCGATGCTTTATTTGGAGAATGAGCGGATTTTTTAACTCACTCAAGAGCCTCGCGTCTGGAGCCGCGAATGCTGCCAAGTACCAGGACGAGGACGACGACGAAGGTTGGTTTTTATCACGGGGTTATGAAATTTTTTTATGATTTTTCATGGAATTTTTGTCCACGAGCGAGTAAATTTATGTGAACAGATTGTCGGGAAAAAAAATCGCTGGAAATTGAACAGTTCTTTGAGATATGATATGACACTGATACGTGGGATTTATATAAAAAATCTCACGGGATAAAATTACTCTTGCATGACGCAAGTTCAGTCGAATACAAGTAACGACCAATGACAAAAAAATGAGTGGGAGTTGAATGTGGGGTAGTTTATATTTTGTCACTACGGGCTGTTGCACAAGAAACAAGACATTCTTATATTTTTTGCAAAAGGTTTCGAGGGCAAAAAACGGCACACTCATGTCCCTCGATTTTTCAATTTTCCATTCCCTTTCATCCTCCATTCATGCGGACACCGGGGGGGTTTGACAGGTTTATTCATCAAGATCTCTCTCCTAATTCAATTCATTTTCACCAGGTCTTCCCCTTTAATTAATAGCGATTTATCGACCAATAATATTAACGGGCCCGCAGAAAACTTCGTGACCCCCGTTTCAGTGAATTAACTCGATTGATTTTACGGCCCAGTTACTGCATCCAAGCCGATTCACTTTGGAGTGTTAATAAATTCTTGCGTAACTCGACACTGCACTTCCCACTTAATGACACGAAGAAAAATTTGTAGTAATAATAGAGGGAATTCAAATTTTCATAATCATTCGAGAAAAGCAGTAGATAAAACTGACTCAATTGTGAGAGACGGTCAGAGTCTTTGCAAAGTGAACATGGAGCTCAAGCTTTGAGACAAATTACTGTGTTAACCTCCTGCCAACCTTTCCCATTCCATTAGCTCTCATTTCTCTCTCGTATTTCACAAGTTCACTGAACATAAAGCCGTCCCGACAGCTCATGATTTTTTATTCCTTTCGAGTCTCGAGATCTAAACAAATTTATCAATTCAAAACACCCCACTGAATTCAGTAGTAAAGTGCTTCAGTGGGAAGACAGATTTGGACACATTTTTGCTTAAATTTATCTTCTTTCCACCGCTTTCTTGACTAAAATAATTCCCACAATTGCTATGAAATTCAATTTAAAAACAATCCTGAGAAGCACAGAGCTTTTCTCTCTTTTCGCTATTTATTTTCCCATAAAGAGCCATCAGCAATAATAAAATAGAAATCCCGAGCGACTTAAAGGAGAAAAGGATCTCCAAGAAAATGAATTTCTCCATTTGTCCCAACAGGCGAAGATACAAGAATGCGTTTCAGCTTGACTCCCCAGCCAGGTGAGAGTGGATTTGCACAATGGTTGGACGCAATGAAAATGGTTGCAAGACTGCCTGGGGGAATACCACCCGAGTTTCGCAAGAGGGTGAGTTCTGTCTCCTCATAAATCATGGGGAAAACAACCGCACGACCAAAAGAAAGCTCCGAGATAAGAGAAAAAACTGTTGAAAAATCCAACAAATGGCCAGCGAAATTCTCCCCCTTCCGGGTCATCCGGGATTATGATTAATGCTTTAAAATTTTTGACAGTTGTGGCTGACGTTGGCAGAGCGCCACCTGGAGCAACGAGGGGTGGATTGGAAGCAGGCGGAGAAATTGTGTTTCAACGAGTGGAGTAATCCAGACGATGAGGAACTCGGTATACAGATTGTTAAGGTAAGACGCTGAGGTATTACCAGAGTCCTCACACAATCAGCCACTCAGAAACACTTGGACCTCTTCAGCGCGTCAATTCAATATCTCCACTCATTTCTAGGGGATTTCATCTCGAGATCCTTAATTAAGGAACACAGAAATTGCGAAGACAGGAAATTATTTCATCAGCTATTATTATTATTTGATATCAAACATGATTTATTAAAATGGAATTTTTTGGGATTCGTCAATCCCCGGATGATTGCCATTGGGTAAAATCTCCAACTAGTTACATAACATCAAACAATCCTCTCTGAAGCTATTAATTCACCACTTAATATTCCATCCGCGTTTGCTCGGCTCCATCCATACCGAGTCTGTCCTCATTCACTTATCGAGACCACGTGGGATGATTTAGAGGCCCAACGGGTGGTCTCGTACAATTCCAAAGCCCAGGGGTATATTTTGTGGGACAAGGTAAGGTGGAAACCCGTGGTGATGTGGGATAGAGAATCGAGGGTAAAATTCGACGACGAGATTTGAAATATAAAGTGAGCGAAATTCTCTCTCTCGTTCGACCATTTAATCATGTTCTTTTGTGTTTGCTTCATATTTCTTCGCAACCACGGGAGGGTTTTCCTACGGAATAAATTAATTATTCCTTAATCATCATCGCTCCGTGTGGAGCTTCAATCATAAAGTAGTATTGTAACGAAATATGGGGGAAGATTTTTTTCTCTCCGAGATTTTCCAACGTAAAGATGCTATTATTTTTTCTCATATTTTTATTTTTATATATTTAAAGATAGACGTTATAGACAATTGTAGGGAGAAATTTATTTAGGTACTCAATAATTGGAATGCGAATTGAGATGCAGTGGAATGACCCGAAAGACGGGAATTATTTTGGTAACAGGTGGATTAATGGAGTAAGCAAAGCGATGACTGATGCTCAATGGGAATGGCCTGTATATTGAGTTGTTCCCCTTGAAGAGTGTTTTCACTCGTAATGAACGCAGTCTGCCCCCAACTCGGTCAACCGAGACTGAAAAGAACTCGAAGAAAATGAAAACAAACCCATCATTCACCTATTCACTGAGCTACACGTGTGTTTGCACATGACCCAATTACCTTGTTCATTGTTGTACCCACCAGGATCTCCACAGAACCGGCTGCAGTCTGTTTTGCGGTGCAGCAGGCCGAGACAATCAGGCAGTACTGCGGCGTGTTCTACTGGGTTTTGCCAGATGGAACAAGTCCGTTGGCTACTGTCAGGGACTCAATGTACTTGCTGCCCTTGTCCTCCAGGTGACAGATCGAGCCGAAGCATCGGCGGTCAAGGTCATGATTTATCTGATCGAGGGAGTATTACCAGAGGGTTATTTCGCCGACAACCTCAGAGGGTTGTCAATTGACATGGCAGTTTTCAGGGATTTGTTGAGAATGAGATTACCAAAGCTGTCAAAACATCTCGAGGCCCTGCAGTGTGATGCTAAGGATAAGGCAACCGGTGATTTTTTTATTTGTTCACCATTGCTCATGAATAATAATAAATTGAATGATGAATTTATTGATATTCCACTGCCCAGGAAGCAGCTACGAGCCGCCACTGACAAACGTCTTCACGATGCAGTGGTTTCTCACTCTCTTCTGCCACTGTCTTCCCCAGGACGTGGTCCTCCGAGTCTGGGATTTGATATTCCTCGAGGGTGATGAGGTCCTTCTGAGAACAGCCCTCGCTATCTGGGAGGGAATATCAGAGTGCGTATCCTCAGAATAATTAAGTAATCGTACCACTGGATAATTATTTATCCATGAAATTTCAGTCGAATCATGACAGTGACGTCTGCCGACGAGTTCTACAGTATTATGGGGGTTCTGACGAGGGAAATGCTCGAGTTCACAGACACAAATAATTTGATAAAGACCATTGTTAATATGGGACCCCTCGTTGGTGTGACGGATCTCAGGGAAAAGCACAGGTACAATATAACTCCTTGGGCTAGACGTCTCAGTGACGACGAGGATACCGATACCGAAGAGGAGGAGAAACTCGCTGTGGCGGCTGCCATGTACGGCGTCCATCACAGGCTTAAGAAAGGTTACAAGAAAGGTTGCAAGGGCATTAACCCCAGAGCTGAGAGGGAAATTTCATTTCTGGAAGGGGTGGGCGGAATTATTCATGTGAAAATCGAGGGGTGAGATCAGAGATTCGATAATCCAATGATATCCCGTTAAATATCGTGAAAGCTCACCGGAAAATAGGGCTTAGAGCAGAATCCGCGGGATATTCATCTTCACGCTTTTTTTTTTAATTGAAAAAAAAATTTTTTAAACCCTGAAATCCTGTTAATGAAGATGATGAAATATCTTCGGTAATCCGGAGGCAATATGAAGAGCAATTTTTCCGTTCAGAAAATTTGTAATCCCCAGAAAGTAGATTTATCTCTCAGTGAATGAATCACGCGGCAAATCGATTGCATCACTAAATAAAGTATTTACAGGCTCCTCAATAGCAGCAGGAACTCTGCAGGCAATCAATCAGGGAGGGGATAAAGACAGATTAGCACTGGACATCAGTACATTGAAACACCAGTACGCAAAGTTGAGAGAACGTCAGCGTCAGGCGCACATTATTTTATCCGGTAAATTTTTCACCGAAAAAAAATTTCTATTTTGAAAAATTTCCTGGAACCTATTGCAAATTGCCCCAATTAACGTAAACAAAATATTTTTAATATTTATTTGATATAGCTGCCTGTGCGAGACAATCAATGGTTCCTCCAGGCACTTCCCAAGCGATGAATCATCTCCTGGTGGGTAAAAGTGCCCTTGTCAGTGCAAAAACCCGTCAACTGGGCCCACCACCTGGAGCAATACCCCCGAAAGCGAGATTGACTCCTCTGAGAAGTCCCAGGAATCAAAATCGCAAAGATAAACAGGGAGTGACATTACACTGGAAGGACACGAAGAAACCGAGGGAAACGAAAAATGAGCCTGCGGGTAATTACTCATTATATCTCTTCCAAAATCATCCCCCTGTTTGAATTTATCTCTCAACCACTCGGTACACATGGAAAATATAAAATTTTCGAGCTTTACCATCCCTCGGGATGTTGCCGTCTCTCCCTCTCTCGTCGGTTTTTTTTTATCGAGCGTCGGTAAAAGCTCGAGAGCTTTTCACCGTGACAGAAACCCTTGGAAAATATACCAACGGGTATGGAGTATTGACGCAGGTGTGGCGGGGTCAATATCCGCCCCAGTTCAACCCCTCGAGATCACCACCTGTTTTCTCCTCAGTGACGTAAGAGCAGTGGGTTTGAATGGAAGAATTAAATCCGACACTTTCCAACTTCATTCTGCCATTCTCATGGCCAATTATCCTCTGGATATCCTTCACCGATCGAAGGATTAAATAATTAATGAAGAGTGTCATTGAGTGCCAGAGGATGAAATGAATCCGCGAGGCGAGGAAAATAACTCCTCCAGATGCAACTATTAAAAGTCTCTATTCTCATATTATTGATTTGTTTTTTTATTGTTGATTATTAACGACATCAGTGATGCCCGTGACGGTTGAACGGGAGTTTTTTTGCATTCTGTTCTTCGAATTCAAAATTTTCGATTTTTTGTGTCAGTATGAATAATTTTGGTGGTAGGAGTTCGACCATAATTTGGTCAGACCATGTCCGGACGTATGTATGTATTTCGGTGAATGTCAATACTAGTTTTTCAATTTTTGTTATAAAATTCTGTTGCAAAAAAGGTCAATTAGCCACTCGTTATCGCGGGAGCAGTGATTTTTCGGCGACTCACGAGGTATTTATTTTGCAGTGACAGATGACGTTGACACTGAGCTGGCACAGTCCCCAGAGGGTATGCCCATCACTCTGAGATCATTGAGACGCAGCAGTGGGGACAGTGACAGTGATAGTACGTCGACAGAGCTGTGTGATGATCCTGATCGGCTGAGTGACAGTGAAGAGCCCACATCGACATCCGATTGTTACGTTATGGCAACGGACGACGAGAGAAGTCCACGACCATCACCCACTCACGCTGTTGACGTCATCGGTTCCTGTGATCCGGTGAGAGGGATTGACCCAGTGGACGCCGAGACTACAGCATCAATCGCCAAGATAACGGATCAAATCAGAAGGCTGTCGGCTGGCGATGACAATAACTCTATTGCCCCTGTGTCCGAGAGCTTTGACAGGGGTGATGGTAAATTGGGAGACAGAGGGCACGATGGAGTGATCCGGGGGGAGACAGTGCCAGTAGATAGGGAGGATTTTGTACCTAGTATTGAGAGAAAATTAGACGTAGTGCCCAGGGCTGTGGAGCCAATACTGACTCCCCATGTGGAGGTGAATTCAATTAATGATGCGTTCAGAGCCGATCTCGACACAAAGTACTCATCGAAATCGATGGATTTGGACATTGACTCGAAGACGTCGAGCAAAGTTACGGCACCTGGGGAATTGGAATCGAATCGAATAGAATCGAATTATTACTCGAGGAGTTTTGTAATGGGACACGTACCGATATCCCCAGTGAATGTTGATCAGAAGTTCCAGAAGGCTGGAATTTTGCAGACGAGAGTTTGTCACCTGAGCCTCGATTATCCTCAGAGTGTCAAGCCTTACGATGACGTGAAGAGGAGCCCGAAGACACCGGAAAGCGCCAAGTCATTCAGCTCCGGCGAGACAATGGGGCCGGACTCGAAAGTATCGAGTCTCACTACCAGTCCTAGGACTCCAGTCCGAGGGGACTCTTGTTACCCGAGGAGTGAAAAATCCCACTCGTCAGGAAGTTCCGACGACAAGACCTTGACGATGAGATCGATAGACTCGGAAATGGGTTCACGCTCGAAGATGGAGTCGAGGTGTTCCCTGGACAATAGCTCCTCGACTCCAATGAGCCTCGACGCCCTGAAGAAGTCGATGAGCCCCACGAAGATAGTTGTGAGCAGCTCCAGTGAATCTTATTGCCCTGGGGCAATTAAATCGACTGAGTTATCCCCTTTCAGCTCTGAGCTTCACTCTTCAACAAGTGCCAATTCGATAAAGTACACGTATTCTTATAAAAATCAGGAGAACCTCTCGGAGACGCCAGTGGACGTTCCGTCGACATCACCTTTTTATCCGATCTCTACTCCAGAGGTGAAGACCTCCCCGAGGAATTCAGGGAAAGCTGACGCCCTGGAGCCCTTGACGTACAAACTGGAGGAGTCGAGGTCGATCAAGGGGGAGACGAAGACGAAAGATTTACCGAGAAAAGCCGACGACTACGATTCGGGAAGGCCCTTCGAGGCAGAGCTCGCTCTGACTCTGGCCTCGAAATCCGAGAGGGCAGCGATCATTGGAGTCCACAGGGACTCGAGTAAAGACACCATTGACCTCGATAAATATCAGGCAAAGCTGAAGAGCGACGAGCTGGAGGAGCGATTCCTGGAGAACGACACGGTCTCCCCTTTACCCCGCGACAAGTATAAAACCCTGAAGTTGTCTGGGGACGCGGATGAGTTTTCCTCGCAGAAGCGAAGTCCCACCAAGTTCGAACGGAGCTGCAGCGTCTTGGAAAGGAAATTAGCGGAGATGAAGTTGTCGACGTCGACGGAGGACTTTGTGGGGACGAAAAAGCGTTCGAGTGATATTTTGGACGATCTTCGACGAATGGAGGCGACAACGTTGGAGAGCAGCGTCTCGAGTGACACAAATATGACGAGAAAGACTGGTTACGATTGGGAGGATCTCAGAAATCTCGAGGCGAGACGACAGGACACCTTCAGCGATTCTGCCAGTGGCTTCTCCCAGGCGAGGCTCGATCTCCCAGGGATAACCGTCTCCAATGAAGTCAGGAAGACTTACGTCGTCGAGCCTAGAATTCAGATGGACGAGGGTAGCGACAGTATCCTGAAGAACTACACCAAGAGAAAAGAGAATGGAGAGCCCGACGATGACAGGGAGTCGAAGCTCGGTGTTTGGACGAAGGTCAAGCCCAGGAAGAGAGGGGAAAATGGTAGAAGGAGCAGTAGCGATAGAGCCCTGAAGATAATCCAAGAGAATTCGGCTATTCTCCACAAGATTCTTACCTGTCAAGCCAAGAAACGTCTTCCCGATTTAGAAGAGATATCAAAAGAAATCACGATAAGTCCGATTAACGAGGAGATATCCAAGATATTCAGCCCGATTTTGGAGAAGATGGGGCTGAATGAGCACGAGATCAACGAAGAGCTCGCAAGGATAAACTTCAAGGATTTGGATCAGATGAAGACGACTAATGGCTCGGAGTTCGACGCAAAGATGCACGACGAGCTGTCGAAGCTGTCGATAATTGACGACAACGAGGAGATCAATCACCTGGATGTCGACGAGATGATATCAGGTGATTACCTGGATACAAGAGAGGCCCTGATCGATAAACAAATAAACGAGGAGCTCTCAAAGCTCCTGGCTAACTACGACGAGTCACCCATCAGCCTGGAGCCCTACGAGAAAGGATCATCGAGTCAGAATGAGATCGAGGGACTTGACCTCACGAGCATCTCCACAAATGTATTCTCTTACAATTCCTCGAACGACTCGATCGAGATCGATAAGAGCGAGGTTGGGAGCCAGGAGCCTTCAGTAGAAAAATTCCATCACTACGCAGACACACAGACGTATCAGCCTCCCACGTCTTACGATCTCCAGAGTATTCAGAGCCTCTCCCCCAGGAGTGACATCGACATATACAGAGAACTCGAGAAGCTCAATAAGATCTCCTCGGTCCAGGTCCTCTCGAGTAATCCTCCGATCATATCCCCAGGTGCTTATGGCTCAGACCTGCCGTCCTACGAGGCACAACTGCCGTCCTTAGATTACATGAAGCCAGAGAAACCCTTTGAGAATTCCTTGAAGAGTCCTTATGACACCTACAAGCCCTTCGATTTCACAGCGTCCAAGTTATCGCCCCTCAAACCCTCGAATCCCTTCTCCAGGACTTACGACAAGGACGAGGGGTTGGCAGCTCTTGATGCCGATCGGAGTGCCTTGAGGAATTTTGAAATCGGCAAACGTCAAATGCTGTCCAAGGAGACACTCGAGTTTCGGGTGCGGTACGACGAGGATAATGCCCCGGGTGATAAGATTCGCGAGGAGCTGTCGTACAGGGGTTATCAGGGGGATCGTGGGGGGTATTACGATGAAGAGACAGGGGCGATCAATCGTATTGGCAAGGACGAGAGGGCATTACCATTGTCCTCACCCCTGGATTACTCGTACGAAAAGTCCGAGTACCGGGGGAAATACCTGGCTAAATCCCCAGAGAATTATTTCTCCAAGGATTACGAGAGGAAGAGCTTCAAGGTGACACCCACCAATGATGACCTGAATATTGGTTCATATTTTCCGATGACTCATCGGAGAGATTTTTCTCCTAATTATCAGTTTGAGGGGAGTTATAGGAAGGGTCTTTACTCATCGAAGCTTGAGGGTGGACCGGCAAAGACTGAAGGAAGCGATGAACCTGGCGGGATGGAGTTTGAGACACCGTCCAGGGAATCCATTGCTTTCAGGAAAGCTGCGATGACACTTGGACCGTTGGACGGTGTCACCAGGGGATTTGAGGGCGTCACTCCCAAGGGACAGTTCAATCCCTTCCCAGTGAGAAATATATCGAGGAAACCCAAGGAATTGGGACTCAAGCTCGGACTGTACTCGCCCTCAAGTCCGGGAACCGCGTCGGGAAAGCGATCATAGTCTGGTGAGAATTTTACAGATAGGTTTTTTGATTATGGAATGATTTGGAGATTTTATGGAGATAAATGGAGTGATAATAATTCTGTAATTTGAGAGGCCTAATCCAATAATCCCAGTAACAATTGAACCTTAAACTGGGCTTTTGCTACTTCTAGGTGAATTTTAGAAAATAACTGACGGCTGAGCACAGAGAGAAATGATAACTCTCAAGCTCCAATGAATGCGCGTTGTAGTTGATTTTGACCTATCAATTTAAAAAGTTTTCTCTTCATCGTTAATTGACAATGGCTCCAGTTACAGTTGATTTTTTTTTCCCTCCACCATTTGATGAGTCTATCAGCCATCAATTAACAGAGTGCATGAATTACGAGGATATAGCGGGACAATTGAAGCAATTATCAATTTTGGATAATTGCTGGCCACTCTCTGAAACAAATACCCGCGTGGGTTTTTCTTTTTTTTTTTTCATCTGTGAGTAATTGTCAAGTGTACAAAATGGAAATGTCATTTTTGTTTGTCACATCTGTTATTGTTTTTCCAATGTAAAAAGAGTCTAATGGCAATGGAGAATCGAACTGAACGGAAAGTACTGGCGCGGATATTTGATAGATTGCGAGTGTTTTTCAACTGAAAAATGAATGAGAGAGTGGAAAAAAAAGGGTAGTGGACTGAGAGAGGATAATTAGAATGTGTATAGATAAAATCCCGTGGTTATTCGTTATCGCGAAAGAATGTCTCACCAATGGAGAATGGAAAACTCATCAGCTGTGCTGATTTAACGTGCTCGGGTATTGTTAATTAATTGCCCATCAATTGAGAGATCAATGATGAAAGTCCGACTTGACGCTGATCAATTCACTGGGGCATGTCCCCAGCAATTGATAATTAATAACTGAAATGGCAATTGAACGGTCAAATCAGTAGTCAAGAAGTGAAGCTAGACGAATGAAACTTTATGGATTTATCTGAGAGACTCTCGAGGAATTTCGCCATTTAATTAAATTAATTATGAAAATATTGATTTCTTGAATTACATTAAATGAAATCTCGACTATTTGACATTTTTCCTTTAAAACCTCAAAGCAACAATTGAAATGAGAAATGAAATCGTGAAAAATGCAAATTTCAGTTATCACTGTATCATTGTTTTAAATGTAACAAATTTGTGAGGCTTCATTGTCGAATATTGTATATATTTATAGTCTACGAGCACGATTAACTGCGGATATAAGACTGTAATATATTTGAAGAATAAAGCATTATATAAGAGATTATAATTAATGAAAGAGGATTCGTGATTATGATTTTAATTAAATGTGAGAAATAGTCTATTTGTTTGAAAGAATTAATGGAAATGGAATGAATGGGTCTTTTGAGGTGAAGTCCCTTGGCGGAAACTTCACACTCCCTGAACTTAAAATGTCCCATAAATGTAGGTGGTGCAGCTGTAGAGGCCATTCCCATTTCATTAGTTGGTTGCTCAATGTAAAAAAAGAAAAGTTTCTGGGAAAAGTTTGAAAGTGGTGGCTATTGCCAACTCGAATCGCCACAAATGGCTCCACCATCCTCAAAAGTACCTCTCTGAACTTGAAAAACCATTTGATCATCTTCTCCCATACAACTTTTAGTTACCCTTCAACTAACGTAACCACCTAGTACAGCTCTTTACTATAAAGTTATCGCGGACGAGTGAACAATCAAGTTAAAAACTGTCCGCATCACGTACGCACCTAGAGGGATTTCATTTAACTTTTCCATTTAAACATGCATGCATACCAAATTTTCAAAATACCTAAAGGGGTATAAAAAAATACCCAAGTTGTTGAAAAATTTTTTTAATTCATTTTCAATTCCCAATGATTTCATGAAGTTTCGGTGGACGTGAAAAAAAAAAATTATTACCGCACTTATGAAGATTACGTAGTTGATGATAATCTTAGAAATGGCAGAATACAGGATTGCTCGTTGGAAAAGCAAAGTTTCAGACATTGATGGACTTCTCTGAAGCGCTAGCAAGCACTCAAAGCCTTAACTTGGCAGCTTTTAACGTTTCTCGAGAAATTACTGAAATTTCGCGACACCCTTTAACGCAGCCATTACCAAGACAATGGGCATTGTCTCAATCGTTGGCTCAAGTAGAATTGAAGACGTTATTCCAGTAACTCAAGGTGGGATCACTCGATATCCACAATCCCTTGAATCTTCAAACTCCATTTGTATCCCATCACTTTATTTAATTACCATTGTTTCGAGGTAGTTGCAATTTCCCCGGGCTCTGAGAGCCTCCAAGCACCCGGGGAATTGTATAATATTTATTATCCACTGTATTTCATTAATCCAAATGGATTATGAGACTCCAGAAAGTTGATAATCCAATTTATTCATCAGCCAACGATGACAGTCCTCGTTATTTCGCCAATTGCATTCGACGGGGCTCTCTACTCCGGATTCCTCTCATTTTTTATTGAAAAAAACTTTGAGCTCTCGCGTTGAAAATTCAACTCTCGTCAGAGTAGTTTATCTCAGTGACGCCCTGAGAATCTTTTGAAGTACCTTACAACCGGGTGAGAGGAAAATAAGGTATTCCCTAAAAGTTGATGACACATGGAGACAGATAGTGGGGACGTGATGCAACGCGAATTTTTAATCAAAGAACCCCATCCATCACTCCGCGATTTTTACCTTCACCCATATACCAGTCGACATTTTTATTACGATAGAGAAACAACCTTCAACTTTATGTTTACGTTCTTATTAAAATTTTCCGGAATACGATTAACATGCTAAAATATGAAGATTACTTCGTCTGCGGGTGGGGTTGACCGAGTGAACCTCTTTTCCGTGTGCCTTTTCACCCTTCATTCTCCCTTCATTTAAAATGCACATCGGAATATCCTGTTTACTGTGTCCACCCGGCGAAGAGCCTCGCTGTATTTACAAACTTGTCTTTATTTCCATCAGCCATAAATAGAAAAGAGCCTAGTTCTACATTAAATTCATTTATCAAGACATATACAACACCAAAGAGGTTCATATATTTTTTTTAAATCTACAAAATTGAAATTGAAATTCATATAATTGAAAAGTCAGATGATTTTGCTTGAAATTTCCTGGAATTTTGAATATCCTCATGGATGCCTGGAGAAGGAGTAACAAAAGAGAAGTTCCCCAGCGGCTTCTGGAAGGAAAACCAGTGGGATTTGAGAGAGTGGAAAGAGAGTGTTGGGAGTAATCTAACGCTTTCTAATCGTGAATAGGTGGCAAATTGGAGACTGGTAGAATGTCCGGAATAAAGGAAATACCGCACGGGGTTGGTCTGTCGAATTTTCAAGTCTCCATGGGCAGAATGATGGTGCGAGACAAATGTAAGGAAAGGGCCCTGGAGAAAGGAGGGAAATTCAACTATCAGAGAGAGGGACAACTTTGCTGACCCTTTATTCGAGTTTCTCGATTTTTTCCCATTCTCTACCTTTTCTTCTGGGTACACTCTGGCCACCCAGGCGAGCGAATTTCTCCTCATCTTCAGACGAATTCAATCTCCATCCATTTCCATTTACCGGAGGGAAAGGCACATTGAAAAGCAAGCGTTCGCACTCCCTTCCACCGTGAAATACCAGCCATCCCTCTTACTCACTTTATTTATCCCTTTTTTTTTCTCTCTTACTCTTTTCAGTCTTCCTCAGTGTCCTCAACTCCTCTCGCTCCTTATGGTACCTCTTTTAGATGGTGGACCAAAAGGAGGAGTCCTCAAGCCTCTCGGATCCAGATCGAGATGTAGATGATCCGTTCCTTGCCAGTGTAATCCCAAGCCAATTCCACCAGCTTACGGTTTCGCAATCTGCGGGTATGAAAGCAATGGGTGAGCTTTTTCATTTATGGGGGCTTTTTTCTGGCAATTCTTATCAAAAGATCGAAATATTTTTGAATGGGAAAGGATAGAATGGAAAATGATACGGCTGACAGAATGATTCTGGGGGATTTCAACATGAGATATTCATTTTTATTGAGGTCGGGTGAGGATTTTCTTGTTAAAAAAAAATTTCATTATTCCACCGTGAGAGAATACACAGGGAATAATTATAATTTATCCTGATGACCAGTGTTATGAGTGAATAAAATTATTTTGAAAAAAAAAAACAAAAAAAATATGTGAGATTCGGTTGAATGGGAAAAAAAGGGATGGAAATAAAGGGAAAAGTGCTGACTGGGATAATAAGACTGAAAGGACCCAGGGCAATAGGGCCTTGAGTTTAGATAAGCACAGCTAGGATGATTCACGACGAGTGCCAGGCTGATGGGTGGGTTCATTGTGCATTTCCATCGGCGTACTATCGGCGAGATTCAAAGCTGAATCGGTAGCCTTTACATACACCAATGCCCAGAGAGGATTTTTTTTTCCTCTCCTCCATATATAGCAAGAGACTGTAATTTACACTGAGCCATGGGTATCGTCCGTGACTCTCTCGCTTTGTGATATGGATTCTCGAAAGCCCTTTCAATGCATCTATAAAGGTATATTTCCATTTCACGCGATAAAATGATAGAATTTTCCTTTTTCGGCGGCTACCTTTCCATTTTTTTGCATAATAATCCCTTTTCCACGTTTTCAATGGCTTTGACATTTTTTATAGCATTAAAATGTTATTCTCAATCCAATCTCAGACTGGGCTCGAGCTCGAATTTTTTTTTGATTCATGATTTTGATTGATAAATGTGAAAATTTCCCAAAAATGGTCAATTAATGAGTTATTATTAATTTTCGGAATTGGTAGAGGGATTAAATGCCATAATTGGTATTTTGCCATTATTCCAGGAAGCAAGTACCCACTAGACAACTCCCCACGAACTTACGACACACCCAGTTGTCTGACTATTCCCAGAACTTGATTTTCCGTATACAACAATTAATTACCCCATACTGGGAGTTACTGAGCTGAACTTTAAGAGGACCCTGAGACCATCGGCAAGTGAGTACAAGAAGCAAGGAATACCCCACCAGGTCTCGATCACATCACAACCCAGACCAAGATAGAAAGAGAAGTACCGCCTGAGGGTTGTACACGTGACTGGGGGCACGTTTATAATACCCAAAACTATATGCTTTTCGATAAACTTCCACGAGTTTCCTACCCGTGTAATAAAGTCTTTAATGAGTTTTCCTGTTCGCTAGGCCCAACTGTGTGCGTCTTTAAGAGCCTTTTAGGGCTTGTCTTCTGACGATAATGATGTAATGATCCATCCCTCCACCCTTTCACCCTCTGGGGCCATTGTCCCAAGTTATGAACTACATTCAAATTTAACAATAGCTGAACTTATTGAAAAACCCCACCGCGCCGTTAAAACTATTAATATTAATATTCTCGTTATCTGGGGCTCCTCTGTCTCTCGTGGCTTTTTTTTTCCCCTCACCACTTTATTCACTGGAGCAAGTGGCGAGGGTAGATGGAAAAGTAGAGGAGTCCCTCTCGATCCTCCACTTCCGCTTTTCCACCTTCCAACCGGCAAGTTTCAATTTCGTGAGCCAAATAGGTTTACTACTTTTTTCCCCTACCCTTCACCCGAGTAAGACAAACCTATTATAGGGGTGGTGGGGGGCTTAGAAATGGGCTTTCTGTTTGGAAACAATGGAATGGAACAATTGTAGAATTGTACGTTTCACGTCACGATGGAGGAGATGCCATCTCGGGGATTTTCTCAGGCGTATTAAATTAGAAAACTTAAGCTCCTTTTTGATAAATGGTTAATTCATTGTGAGGGGATGGCGACACTTTGGGGCTTTTGTTTTTGGTGATAATGAAGGGGATAATGCAGTTTTCAAGGTGTAGAGATGTCTTGGGATCTTGGGATCGTTTTAGAAAAGGGGAGAACAATTATTGATGATCAAAAAGTGGTTGTTTCATTTATGCAACTTCAGCTTTTTCAGGGTTTGTTAATAATCAGGGAGAAAATTGGGTTTCGAATGAATCGGTAATTGATTTCTCATTTGTCAGGACAGAATGAGTGGTAGTATTTTTGATTGGGGGAATTTTTAAATTTCCGTGAATACCTCCTCGATTTTCATATTCCCTTGATACTTTTTCAAAAATTTTGAATTTTCAAATTTCAGTGAATACCTCCTCCATTTTCATGCTACCCTGATATTTTCTTGAAAATTTTGAATTTTTCAATTTCAGTGAATACCTCATCCATTTTCGCTAGTCTCTTTAAAAATAAAACTCGAGTAATTAATTTTTCTTTGCTGATAATTCGTTA